TTCCCGTTGCTGAAAATTTTCAAGTATAAACTTGGTGTTTCCAGAAAGATGTGATGCAATAAATGGAATAAAGGAAAATTAGGTCTCTAAGGTCCCAAACAACTATATTCCACTTTATCACTTGAATGTACTCATCAGAGTGCTAAGGCCAGAGTGATTTCTGTTATTTGAGTTTCTTTACAGGAACCTTTCTCCAACATCCATGCCTTATCTCCTCCTTATCTACCCTTATCTGAATTTGCTTGTTTTTGACCCTGCTCTAAGCCCTTTCTGTTTTAGTTTTAACACAAGAGTTACATAGTCCAATGATCTGGTGTCAGACTGCTTGGGTTTGAATCCTGATTTCACACTGGCCAGCTGTTTGAATTCTGGAAGGTTACCTAGGCTGATTAAGTCTCTTTTTCTTTATCTGTTGAAAGCAAATGACAATAGTACCTCTTGCAAATAGTTGTTCTAAATTTTAAATAATGGTAATCCAGATAAAGTGATTAGTAAAATGCTTGGCCATGGTAAGGACCTAGTAAACGGTGGTTATATTTTCATTTAAGGAATATCAATTCTTTTTTTTTTTTTCTTAAACTTCTAACCACTCCTGAACTCCAAGTTTTACACATAATTTCAAGTATATGTACCCTTTACCTAGTTGACTAGATGTGTGTCTTCATTTGTCTGTAAAGCAGGTTTTTGTATATTTAATTTTATTTTCTTGTTAATGTTGTATAGTCAGAGATGAAGTCTTATTAAGCCACTGTATCAATAATAGTGAACAACAGTTGTTTTCATTGTTAGCAGATTATTGACAGCATTTAAATTAGCAGTTCATTGGAGACCCTCAGAACTTAGAGAAATTTTAAAAATATAATACCAAAAGGCGCCCCCCCCCAATAAACTCCGCCAGCACCTCCCACCTCAGTCTTAAAAACAATGATCATGAGAACATAACAAAGGTGTTTATTTGGGGTAGAAACTATCTTTAATTGAAGTGTGAGATGTTTATGAAGACCTAAGAGAAATGGACACACCCAGAGTGGTTTATAGGCAGAATAGCTCGTAACCCTGGTGTGGAAAAGGCCATTTCTTGAACTCACAGGACAATGTCTTTGAAATTTCATTCCTAAAAAGGCATTCCTTAGCTCATATGGATAAGAAAGTGGGGAACTTTGTGGTAATGGTTGTTTCTTCAGGATATTTTCCGTTTTATGTGTCCAGTGTCATTTCTAAATACTTAATAGAACCATCACTGAAATACAGTGCATTATTCAGAACTGAAAGTACCTACATTTACTGTAAATATTTATCTTGCATATACTGTGCCCATATGTGGTTTTCAATAGCTTCAAATATGCTGGAAATTTCTGACCGGCCCCTTTGGTGAACACCAGGCTGCGGGCTGCATGTGTGGTAACAATTCCAGACACTCTTCTTTAGTTCCCGCTCTGGCAGAGACCTTCTCACCATGGTTGATGATGTATGAGGGGATCACGGCTGTGTTCCTTTTGCCTCTGGGTGCTGCGGTAACATAGATTCCTGGCAAGTAAACAGGGCCTAGTTTAAAGACTATCTCAACTAGGTGGTTAAGGAAATGAACTCATTTTCATCTCTGGTCAGTGTTGGGTGACATCAGTATTTCCCATAGCCTTTGGTCTCTGGATTCTTGAGGTACAGGAAACAACTATGTTAGAAACACATTTGGAAGCCTAGGCCACTTGAAATGTATTAAAAGTCAAAGATCCACATTCAGGGTTTAGGGTTCTAATTTAAATGCCCTCTGACCTTATTACTAACATTTGCAAAAGACACCCTAGGCTTTAACATTCCTTTTTGTCTTTTGTATTTTGGTGGCTTGCTATATTAGATTATCCAAATGAAAGCATCAGTTGGATATTTCTTCTTCTTCACCTCCTACCATGGTGATGTATATAAAGAAAACAAGCAAAAAGGTGGTACAAGAATATTTAATGGTAAAGTCAGATTCAATAGAAGCAGAGGTGGAAGAAAGGAACCTAGTTGCTTCACTTTTAACACACATGTTTTCCGTAGATGGCTGGTTTTCTTCAGTTTTCGTAATTACAATTTCAGGCAGCATCCCTCCACTCCAGGCTGGTTATCCCATTTGTGGGTTACCCATTTCCTGTGCATTTCCTTCCTCCGGCCCACCTCTTGGCCACATTAACATGACTTCATGTCACAATCGATACCGCAGGTGGCCACAGCAGGTTTTGAAAGGAGAATGGAATAAAAACCTGTCAAGGTTGCTTTGGGTTAAATTAAAATATTTGGTGAGGAGAGGCCCAAACTCTTGGCCAGAATGAGGCTTCTGACAAATGGAGGCATTTCAGAAATCTACACTATTTTTTTAATCAATCTTTGTTAACTAAGTGTTAGCTGGCTGTGTATCTTAGAAGAGGTCAGAGCAGTACACATACTGGAAATAAAGTTGAGAATATACCCTCATTTATGGGATATAATTAGCCAATATTTTTGAAATCCTAGGTCAGACTTAGTTTATTACTTGGTCTTCTAGGGGCTTATAGTCAGGGAGACAAAATTCACACCCAGGATTCAACAGTCAACAACAGTTGGGCAGAATTTACTGAGTCGGTGTTGGATTGCATAGAACAGAGAGAGAGAGGGAGAGAAAGTGTGTGTGGGGTGGGGAAGAGGGGGTGGGGTGTATTTTTAAGTTCAGAGAAGGGAAAAAGACAAGTAGGCTGAAAAAGGCTGTGTGTTAAGAGGTAGGTCCAAAGCTGGGGCCCAAAAACTGAAGGCACGAGGGAAGGAGAATTCGGATTAGTAGAGTAGAATAGTAGAGTGTGTGTGTTCAGGGCCTCAAGTGCCAGAAAGAAGTCAGGAAGGTGGGGGAAAAGATACAAATGTTCTTACAAAATTAGAAGCTCCTATTCTGTAGGAAATCAATGTTGTCTGTCATGAAAACATGGGTGCACCCTTTCTTAGAATGAATCCTTGAAACTACTCGAGTGTATTTATAATACTCAACAAAAGGCAGTCTCATTTGGGGAATACATTAATTAACAAATTTATTTTGGAGGCATTGGAAGCACCTGTAAGGGATGAGGTTTGGAAAGGAGCTTCCGCTTAGGATGTAGTTGGAATAAAAGCTGAGTTGTGGCCTACAACGCCCTGAATGATCTGACATGCCTCTGCTTCTAACTTTCTGCCTCTGTGCCATTCTCTCCCTCTTCACTAAGCTCCAGCAATACCCATCCTCTGATATGCTGAACTCTTTCCTGCCTTGCCATCTTTGCATGTGCTGTGTCCTCTACCAGGACACTTGTCCCTAGGCTCTTGGGCAGACCAACTCCTTCTCACATTTCACATTTGCAGAGACTGGAATCTTTTTTCTGACCATCTCATCTAAAGTGGTGTGCTCAGATCCCTCAGCATGCACCATCATATCACAGTGTTTAAAACACAAGGAGCTTTTAAAACACAGGGAGCTCACTGAATGGTCTTGTTTATTTGGTAGTTTATCTTCTGTGTCTCGCCTTTAGGACAGGGACCTCCTCTGCTTTGTGCACAGCCACACCCTAGCATATAAATTCAAACCGGGTAACTGAGGAACATATGCTTTATAATTTCTTAATTATAGTAGGTACTCAGTGAAGTGTGTGTTAAGTGAATCCATAGCAGTGAAGTCTGCATTGTATTTAGGGCATAGTAAGCTTCTGTTCTCCTCCATTCCCAATATGCTGAAGTGTTTGTTACAAAGCAGGAAGAAAGTAATGAATGGGGAAAGATCTGGGGTGGCTCGTGTTGCTATGGAATTATATAGCAGCACAGCTCTTCTCTTTTGTTCCTGTCCTGAATCTTAAGAACCTAGAAAACATCACACAGAGGGATATTTCAAAGAAATGGACTTTAAAGGAACAATTGTGTGGGTTAGATGAATGCTCGTAAATTATGTCAGGAAAAGCTGCTGCCTTAATTTGTTTTTCAGTATGTTTGTGTGTTGTAGCCATTGCAGAATGAAATTACTATACATAATGAGCTCGGGTTCCATGTTTTACAGCCTGCCCCTCGAAGCCTTCACACACATTGTCCTGTGTAGGGCACCTTTCTGGACTTGGCACTATTCTTCTTTGCCTTCTTGAAGAAATAGTGCTGGATGAATTTGTCTACTGCCTACAAATTATAGTACAATAGCCATTGTTAATTTAGTGAAAGAAATGTGGACAACCTGTTATTTTTTCTTGCCCATGGGTTTTTCACAGGAGCGCATATCTGGCTGCTGTACAGAAGCTGCCTGAGTGGTTCCATTTGTAGCTGGATTGGCTTCTAGGCGCTTGGTTAAGAAATTATAAAGTATATGTTCTTCAGTGACATGGTTTGGATTTATAAATGAAATACTATGATGCCTATTTGTATGTCATTAAAACATGTTAACAATAAAATGATACATCCATTTTTCTGCTGTTGAGATAACACTTTATTTTATGCTTTTCCAAAAGACTTACGGTATCAAAACAGGTCAGAGCTGGTGGCGGAGAGATTTCTATTTCGCTTGCTTTTCCCACATCTTTCTTTCCTGTCTTCCCCTCTTCATGCTGGAGATCTGTGTTTCTACACTAGTAGACAATGTGCCAAATTACTGTTAATTTAATGCATTATCTTGAGAAGTAGAGCCAGGCACAATGGCTCACGCTTGTAATCCCCGCACTTTGGGAGGCGAGGTGGGAGGATCCCTTGAGGCCAGGAGTTTAAGACCAGCCTCAGCAACAAAGCAAGACCTTGTTTCTGCCCAAAATTTAAAAGGTAGCTGGGCACGGTGGTGTGCATTTGTAGTCTCAGCTACTCAGGAGGCTGAGGCGAGAGGATCCCGTAAGCCCAGGAGTTCGAGGTTACAGTAAGCTCATCACACTACTACACTCCAGCCCGGGCAGTAAAGCAAAAAAGAAAAATAAATAAATAAATAAATGAATAGGTAATTCTTCAATTTCCTCACTATTTAGTAATCTTGCAGCATGCTTTTCTTATTTCAGCACTGCAGTGACAATACGCATCCCTGCCAGTCTGACATGAATATCGAAGGAGCCTGGAAGAGAGGCTACACGGGAAAGAACATTGTGGTCACTATTCTGGATGACGGAATTGAGAGAACCCATCCAGATCTGATGCAAAACTACGTGAGTGTATGCTGTGGTTGGAAGGTCTTTCCTTCTGGGAAACAGGGAAACTCCTGTTAGGGTTATCAATAAGGTGGATAGCTACTGAAAAATGTAGCAGCATACAATAAGGTATTGTGTTTTGTTTTTCTCTGGTAAAAGATGAGTTCTCTGAATACAGGAAGCATGAGATAACCCTTTCAACTTTCCAGTGACTCTGATGTTCTGACTTACAAAAAGAAAGCAATAAGGTAGCAGAAACCTCACCACCAACACCATCTGCTACCAGCAACATTCGCTGTTCTCAACACTTTATCCAACCAACCAGGCAGTACTCTTTGTTTCTTTTATGGAGAAAAATGTACTTCAAACTTTTCTCCAGTTATCTGATGGTCTTCTTTCTCTCTCTGCCTCTTCTTTTTTTTTTAAAGGACAGTAATGATCGGCCTCCCAGTGGTCTGTAGGAATCAATTCCTTTCTTAAGAAGAAGCCACAAATTCATTTAGTTCTCATTTGAACAAAATGGTTGAGTTGCTGCATCCAAGTGCACCCAGACAAACTGTGTCTCTTTACAGAATAGAATTTTAAAGCTAAAAAGGAACTTCAGGTTACTCTCCTTATTTGATAGGAGAATAAATTGTAGCCTGAAGACAGAAGGGAGTTATCCATGGTCAGATAGAAGAACAGAAACTATGGCTCTCTGAGCGCCAGCGGAGATATCCTTCTTGTCACACGCAAAGAGGGTTTTACAGCATGCTGCTCTTCCCCACTGCATATGAATGTATTTGACTAAATACAAATAGCATTCATGTAATTGGGAGTGCAGTCTTTTATCTTTTTCATTTTTCTCCTCTTGAGAAAAAATTCTCTAGAATTAATCTGTGCAATTAGCATGATTGGCGCCCTCTTGCTTCTTCTTTATGCTGGACCTGGTGGGGAGTAGAGAAAGCACGTTGGGTAACATGTCAAAGACTTGGGTTCCTTCCAGTCTGGATTTGTTTAATCACTTTTAAAGGCAAACAAGCAGATCCAACTTTGGTTTTGGCGATACTGTTTCTTCATATTGAAATCTTGGTGTAGGAAAACTTTGTTTATCATTTTGGTTGGTCCTCTGTTTCAGGCCTCTTTTTCCTTACCAGTAAAATTAGTAAGATACATTAGATACACTCTGAAGCCTTCGTGCTCTAAAGGACACTAAGCAGGTCCGTCGAGCCTCTTTTGCACAGGAAGCAGGAACTTACCACCTGTATATACAATATATATTTTGCTTGATTTCCCCAAACATTTCAGTCTTTATGTTCTAAAAGTTATTTTCAGAAAGAAGAGCCTTTTGATAAAGACAGAAAATCAAGATAGTGTTTACTTTCACTAACATTGAAATTAGGAATAATAATAAAGTATAAGAACATTCAGGCTAGGTGCACTGGCTCACACCTGTAATTCAAGCATTTGGGGAGGCTGCAGCAGGAGGATTGCTTGAGCTCAGTAGTTTGAGACCAGCCTGGAAAACAGCGAGACCTTACCTCTAATAAAAGTAAAAAAAATGAGGAGAGAGAAAGAGAGAGACCAAGCCACTCAACAGAAGACCACCAGAACTGAAAATAAGCCAGATTATACTCCAGAGAAGGGGTCCCAATAATACCACATTATTCCAGGCTAGAAGGTGGAAGCAGCCCATTTTTCATTTGATAGTAAGATACGTTTCTTATAGCCAACTAACCTACATAGAAAGAAACTTCTGCCAAATTATTCTAGTGACCCCATACACTTGTGGTCTTAATCTCTTGTATTCCCTCTGAGCACTTCTTTTCCCTCCTTATATTTTTGTATCTTTCTAAAAGTTAAAAAAAAAATAGCTGGGCGTGGTGGCACCTGCCTATAGTCTCACCTACTCAGGAGGTGAGGCAGGAAGATTGCTTGAGCGTGGGAGATCAAGGCTGCAGTGAGCCCAGCCGTGATCGCGCCACTGCGCTCCAGCCTGGGTGACAGAGGAAGACCCTATTTCAATTAATCAATCAAAGAAAATTCAAAGCATGTTAAATTAGGCTGGCTACAGTGACATAAATTTGATAAATGGTAACAGTCTAGTAATTTTTTTTTCAGTATTGCAGATATTTTTCACAATCATTTTTAAAAGCAAACAAGCAAATCCAACTTTGGTTTTGGAGATACTATTTCCTTATTTTGAAATCTTAATGTAGGAAAACTGTTCATCATTTTGGTTGGTCCAAAAGCCAATGGGTATTAGTAGAATGTCTAAATCATGGACTCCTTTATAGTAGATACAATATCTGGTTTGTATCTAACAGACGAGGGTTGTCTAATAGCGGTGCCAAGATACCTGACATAATAAAGATCTGATATTGATTGTTAATTGGCTTGCCAATGATACGTGAATGATTTTTGTCTTCTGAAATCTAAATTATGATAAGGAAGTTGCAAACTCAAGAAATCAAGTAAGGAGTAGGGAGAGAGTCTATGGAGAATAAATCACTTTGTGCCTAGGTAGTCAAGGAGAGAAAAGGTAGTAATGAGGATGTCTTTGAAAGATATACATTTCATGAACTGGGTCATTCTAGGTATGAGGGGGAAAAGTGCTGGCAAGAATGAACCAGGCAATTCTTTGGTCTGTGTAGAGTTCTTCTTCACCTTAAGGGGGAAAAATACAGCACTAATTATCACTGAATGAGCACTCCCTCCCTAAGGCCTGACACCACTGAACTGTGAGCGTATTAGTTAACCTAATTACTTTCTGGCAGAAATGTATTTAAAAATGCATGAGCCTGTGGGTCAATGGCTAATTAATGAATGTCCATTTCTTTTCCCTTGCTCTCTCCTCTGTGGCTATAGGATGCTCTGGCAAGTTGCGACGTGAATGGGAATGACTTGGACCCAATGCCCCGTTATGATGCAAGCAACGAGAACAAGTAAGGCCCAAGTGAGGGGTGGCTGTCATGTGGCTGGCAAGGAGCTTTGTTTTCTGCTCATGCTGAGGGAAGTATTTTCTTCAAAATCCTTGATAACATGTGTAAAGGTAAACTGAGGCTGGAGCCGGACCGGGAACGAAGACACAAGGCAAATGGCAGTGAGAATAGCCTTTTATTAGGGCTTGCAGGCGAGGTTCCTCTATCCAAAGGCATGGGCCGAGGAAGTCGCGCTGAGGGAGGAGGGTAGGGCCTTCTTACAGCCTGAGAGGTAGGGAAGCTGATTGTGCAAACAGGGCCTGGGGGGTCTTGAAACTACTAGGGCAGGAGTTGAGTAAGGGTCATGAGGAAGGGGTCTTTGGAAACTGTCAACCGAAACTGCTGTTTACAAACTTGTGGAATGCAGGTGAGCTGCAGGTCATGGGGGAGTGTGGTTGCCCAGCCGGAACTCTGACGCATGTAAGTCTGCGGGTGTGTACAAGGGTGAAGGGAGTCTTTAACAAAAGGCCTGCTACGCCGGGTAGCGCCGCCATGTTAGGTCTAGATTCCTGCCTAACAATATGATTCTTAATTTGCTCCAAGATAAACAAGTGTCTTTCCACTGAAGCCTCTGAGTAAGAAAAAAGGGATGCTCCATATAGAAAGAATGGTTGCAGAGAGAGCCCTGAGGAATGGCTCAGCATTTCCAAATCTTGAGACTGGGACTAAGAGATGACCCCTCACATGGTAATTGCCCTGTGACCCATTTGTTTAGGGACAGAGGTGGTGAAGGGAGAGGCCAAGCAAAGTACCTCCCAAAAGAATTCTTTGTTCTGTTAAATTCAACACATGATTGAATACTGCATTTGAGGTCCCCACCTGAGAGTTTATTTTACTTCTCCTTTGCTCCTCTCTCCTCTGTAGTTATTGTGTTTTTCACTAATATACCTGAAATACCTGGAAGGATTATCGCCAATTGAAGAAGGCATTACCTTTCTTATTCTCCCCCCGCCCAGGCAAGAGGCACAGAAACCTGGTTAACCACAGTTATGCTTTCTGTTTACTGCTGTGGTTTTTGGTGAATGCAAATCAACATTCACATCCATTTGATAACAGAATATTTTAACATTCCTCAGGCAAGTAAGAGAGAATGGTTTTTCTTGCTTACGTAATGACCCAGATTCCTTACATTATTAGTAGATATTTCTAATCTCTAAATCACATTAATTAATTTTTTTCCCTTTTACTATGAAGCTCCTCAGGATAATGCTGTAATTTAGATACTTTCATGTGAATTTTTATTTACATGTTTTATTTACATTACATACACAGAAGTTGCAAAGAGAACTGTTTAGCCCATTTATTTTGTTATTTCTGATCTGCTTTTTTCTTTAGGGAAAAATTTCTTAACTAGGTTTATTTGATTAAGTCAGTAAGTTTAGATAAAACCATATGACCTAGAAAATTGTCACTGTACCTATGTGGTTTTTCTTTACTGTCGGCAAAGAAAGCTTAACAAAATAACTAGAAACATGCTGCTGGTTGACATGAACAACCAAGTAAATCTTCTAGATCAGATTCAGTGGTGAAAGCATTAATACACGAATTGCTATAGGTAGAATTTTCCAGAACTTTCCAAGCAAACAGAGACCTACGTTAAACTGGATAGTTTTCTTTCAGATTTACTGTGACTGCCCAGTGGGTTCACCTTGTCCACAGCTTAGACAGAGCCAATTTATCAAGACAGGGGAATTTCAATGGAGAAAGAGTAATTCACATAGATCTGCCTGTGCTGGAGACCGGAGTTTTATTATTACTCAAATCAGCCTCCACTGAGCATATGGGGATCCGAGTTTTTAAAGACAATTTGGTGGGTAGGGACTTAGGAAGTGGGGACTGCTGATTCGTCAGGTTGGAGATGGAATCACAGGGGGGCTGAAGTGAGGTTTTCTTGCCATCTTCTGTTCCTGGGTGGGACGGCAGAAATGGTTGAGCCAGATTATCGGTCTGGGTGGTGTCAGCTGATCCATCGAGTGCAGGGTCTGCAAAATACCTCAAGCATTGATCTTAGGTTTTACAACAGTGATGTTATCCCCAGGAGCAATTTGGGGAGTTTCACACTCTCAGAGCCAGAGGCTGTATGACCCCTAAACTGTCATTTCTAGTCTTGTAGCTAAATTGTTAGTCCTGCAAAGGCAGACTGGTCCCCAGCCAAGAAGGGAGTCTTTTCAGGAGAGGGCTATTATCAGTTTTGTTTCAGGGTTAAACCATGAACTGAATTTCTTCCCAAATTTAGTTTGGCCCACACCCAGGAATCAACAAGGACAGCTTAAAGGTTAGAAGCAAGATGGAGAAGTCGGTTGGGTCTGATCTCTTTCACTGTTCATAATTTTCTCAGTTATAATTTTTGCAAAGGTGATTCCAATCCCTCCCTTTGGGTTTCATAGCACCTTATTCTTAAAGTGTGGCCTATGAAGACGGGAAAAGACCATCGATCACTCTGACTTCTTCTTGCTGATAGGGGCATAGTGGGGTAGGTGTTGACCCCAAGGTGAGAGGAGTGGAACTGCTTTGCTGCTGTCTGAGCTATCTGACCGTACTCACTCAGGCCAGGCTGGGGTTCCAAGGCTTCCATGACAAAGATGTTAGTATTCTCATCTATAGTTTTAGTACAGCATTTAAGCAGACAGTGTACTATAAGGTAAATAGTGAGTTTTAGGATAAGGAGTGCAATTCCCAGTTTTAAAAGTAAAGATTTGAAAGCATTAGTTTGGGGACTTAAAGTCCACCAAAAATTTAGAATTTAGTTTAAATTGAAGAAAAATAAAAATGAAATCTCAAAAACAACTAACAACAGGTGTACTGTAGTTTTGGGAACATAATTTTTCTCTTTCCAGTCCTTATTTTTATTAAAACAAATCATGATAGGACTGATTTATTTACAAATAAACTTTAGTTTTTTTATGCTTGGCCTGATTATTTGCATAAGGTGCAGCAAGAGTAATTATTTTTTACATAGGCTTTTTAAATTGGCTTTGATGGAACTGTGTTCCATAAGGAATCTCACATAAGAATTTTTTAAAGCCAAGCCCAGCCATGGGTTTTTACCCTCTAATTTTCTCAGTTATAATTTTTGCAAAGGTGATTCCATTCCCTCCCTTTGGGTTTCATAGCACCTTATTCTTAAAGTGTGGCCTAAGTGTCAGTTGGGTAAATTTCTGTCCTCTTGAGGTCCCAAGGTAACTTAGGGCTCCTGGGCCTGTCAGAAAGTGGCATTCTTTACTTACCACAGGTCAGGCACCCTGTAAAGGAACTATGTAGGCAAGGTTTGAGGCAAGTTTTCCTAAGGGGCTATTATTGACTTTACAAGTCAAGTTTGATTCCTTAAAGGAAAGCATACCATTCCAGTCAAAGCCTTGGTAAAATAACCAGTTTCTTCAACTGTGTCCTGTTCAAAAGAAAACATTCTTATTGCACTTATGCAAATAACTGTATTGCCATAAGTTAAGAATACTCACAGATAGTTTCTAAATTCTGGAGAAATTAGGTAGAGAGAATCAAATATGCTCTAAATTTTGTCCACAGGAGTATACTTTACTCAATTGTTAAAAGCTGGAAATAGCTCAAAAGAAAAGTGTTTTTGTCTCTGAAAAACAAAAAGGATCAGCAACACTTTAAGCAAAAAAAAAAAAAAAAAATCTAAAATATTTACTTCAGTTTTCTGTTAGTTCAGTCCATTTAGTTAACTCCTGTTCTGCTGGATATTCATAAACATTTTAGCTCTCTGCGAGAGTCCTGGAAGTTTTTTTTTCCTTTATTCTAATGTCATAATATCCAAAGTTATCAGAAACTTGCATTCAAGAGCACCTATTAAAGTTTTATAGCCGATTATAAAACCATCTTCTAAAGAGGACCAAATCAAGACAACAGTTATCTATGGATGACAAAAATATTTTAGGGAAGCCACAGTCAAAGACACAATTGACAAGGAAATTTGTTAACTATGTGACACACGATAATTCAACATAACAATTATAATTATTACTGATGACATGTATTGAGACATACCAGAATTATAGGAATCTTACACAATTTTGTAACACATACTAATAACAAATTTATATGAGTATAACCAAAAGAAAGTTAAAAACCATTTTATACTTAACAGTGTTTCCTGCATGATTTTAATACATTAAGTAAGCCGAATATGTGTTGTAGTCTGAATTATAATGTCTATATGTAAAGACAATTCTTTGAATATTTGCTTTGATGGCTTTTTATAGTCTATCCTTTTAAAACTGTTTTGTTTTTTTTTTTCCTAAGGATTTCTTTTAAACTTGGCCACTTCCCAAGACCCTTGTTCAAGAAGAATCATGACAGTCATGTTCATCTGGGGTATTCTAGTGTGTCCCGCTTTAACCCGTCCTAAGCACTGGTCATGGTTCATTGAGTACAGTGGGGGATTGATTGTTGGAGGACACAGACATTGTTCCCAATGTGTGCTTAGGTTTGCCATCTTGACAGTGAAATATGGAATTTTCACAGGTATAACTCCCTACCTCTGTTTTATGGAAGTCAGCAGTGCCCTGAGGGTATAGATGTACCATTAGCTCCTCTCAGTAGTTCTGCCTGATTTTTTTTTCCCTCAGCTGACCAAGAGCATGTAGTCAGGCATTTAGGATTAAAATGCCCTCTTTGCTCATTAGACCGTAATAATGGATATGATCAGTGGATCTATCTTTAAGCATGGATCCACAGATAAATAACTCTGTTTGGATAGCGGTCACCTAGAGTTAGGAAATGAGTAGCTTTGTAGTTTGGAGGAGTTGACTTTTAGCTCTGGCTCTCCTTGATTATCTTGTGGTCTTTTGAGCTAACAACTCTGAGCTTTCAGTACTTTTTAGAAAGTCTCTAGAATGGGCATAATAATACTTCCTTCTAGGCTGGGCACAGTGGCTCACACTTGTATCCCAGTACTTTGGGATACCAAGGCAGGAGGATCACTTGAGTCCAGGAGATTGAGA